ACCTTAATAAACCAAGGAGGAAAAAGAGTAAATAAAACTCAAATTATTCCAGTTATTTGGAAGGTTGGAAGGATTGCCTGAGCCCAGCAGGCAGAGGCTGCAGTGACTGTGAGCGTGCCTCTGCACTCCAGCCTGGGCAACAGAGTGAGACTCCAACTGAAAACAAAACAAAACAAAAAAATACCTTAAATTAAGTGGGAAAAAAATTAATAGATTTCACAGCAGAAATCAATAAAATAGAAAACAAAGCAAGCAAAAAGAAAGCCAATCAACAGTTATCAGATAATATCAGTAAAATGAGTAAACCTCTAAACCAGACTGCTCAAGAAACAGAGAAAACAAAAATGATCAACATCAGGAATAAAAAAGGTAACATCACTACAGATTATCCAGTTACTAGAAGGATAAGAAGGCAAAATAATAAGCCATATGCTAAAAAATTTAGCAACTTAAAACAAAAATAGACAAATTCCTTGAAAGGCATAATCTAATAAAGTTCACTCAAGAAGAAAAAAAATAGCCAGGCTCGGTGGCTCAGCCTGTAATCCCACGCCTTGGGAGGCTGAGGTGAATGGATTGCTTGAGCCCACAGGTTCGAGACTCACCTAGGCAACCTGGTGAGACTTCATCTCTACAATAAATCAAAAAATTAGCCGGGTGTGGTAGCACGTGCCTATAGTTCTAGCTATTTGGAAGGCTGAGGCGGAAGGATCGCCGGAGCCCAGGAGGTGGAGGCTGCGGTGGCTGGGAGAGGCCACTGCACTCCAGTCTGGGAGACAGAGTGGAGACAGAGACAACTCAAAAAAAAGAAGAAAAAATAACCTAAATAGTCCTTTATCTATTTAAAAAATTAAAGTCATAGTTAAAAACCATCTCATAAAAAATACTTTAGGCCAAGATTCCTTCCCTAGTAAATTGTAGCAGATATTTAAGTAAGAAATACCAATTCTACACAGATTTCTCCAGAAAATTAAAGAAAATACTTCCCAGCTCATTCTATGAAGCCAACATTACTCTGATACCAAAACCAGAAAATATTACAAGAAAAGGAAGTTGAAAACCAATATCTCTTAGAAACATTCTAAAAAAAAATTTTAGCAAATTCAATTGCTTGATGAAAAAACAAAAAAACAAAAAAAACCTATAATACATAAAGACTGAGGTTTATCCCAGAAAGCCAAGCTTGTGTTAACATTTGAAAAAAATCAGTGAATATATTTCAATATATCATCAAACTGAAAAAAAAATACAATCACCTCAGCAAAGACAAATCACTTAGCAAAATCTAACATCCAGTCATGAAAAAAACTGTCAACTAAGTAAGAACAGAAGAGATTTTCAACAAGCTTATAGAAAGTATCTACAAAAGACCCACAGCTACCATCATATGTCATCATGAAAAACTCAATGCTGTCCCCCTAAAATGGAACTAAGACATGGATATCTGCTGTCAAATATTTCTATCCAACTTCGTGCTGGAGGTCCCAGCCAATATAAAAAGGCAAGAACAAATAAAAGGCAACTAAATAAGAAAAAAGAAATAAAATTATCTTTATAGATGACATGATCATTTATGTAGAAAACCCAACAAAAACTACAAAAAGTTACAAATAGATGTGCTTCTCAAAGTTTAGGATACAAGATTAAAATCATAATAATAAACAATTAGAAACTGAAATTCATTAAAAAAACACTTAAAAGAGCACCAAAAATATTAAAAAATAAAATATACTTACACATAAATCTGAAAGAGCTATATACTGAAAACTATAAAACACTGCTTAAAAAAATTAAAGAAGAGGCTGGGCTCAGTGGCTTATACCTGTAATCTCAGTACTTTGAGAGGCCAAGGTGAGAGGACTGCTCTAGACAGAGAGTTCAAGACCAGTCTGGGCAGCATAGCAAGACCTTGTCTCTACAAAATATTAGCTGGGGGTGGTGGTCCCCCGTTGTCCCAGGAGACTGAGGCAGAAAGACTGTCTAAACCTAAAGGGTCAATGCTGCAGTGAGCCATGATCATGCCACCGGACTCCAGCCTGGGCAACTGAGTGAGACTCCAATTCAAAAAAAAGATATGTACGATGTTTATTGATTGAAAGACCCAATAATGCTAAAATACACATTTTCCCCAAATTTACCTATGTATTCAGTATAATTCCAATCAAAATCTGAAAGTCTTTTTTAAGATAAAAATTGATAAGATGGTTCTAAAAATCATAAGTAGATGCACAAGAATAGAAAAGCCAAAATAATTTTTGAGAAAAAAAAATTGGAGAAATTATAGTGGTCCCCCTTAGCTTTGGTTTCTCTTTCACTGTCTCAGTTACCCACAGACTGAAAATATTAAATGGAAAATTCCAGAAATAAACAATTCATATGTTTTAATTTGCACACCATTCTGAGTAGTGTGATGAAATCTCGCAACTTCCCATCTTGTCCCACCCAGGACATGAATCATCCCATTGTCCAGTGTATCCATGCCATATATCCTATGAGCCTAACTGTCACTTTGTTACCTCAGCTATCAGAACAACTGTCCCGGTATCACAGTGCTTGGATTCAAGTGACTCTTATTTTACTTAATAATGGCCCCAAAGTACAAAAGCAGTAATGCTTGTAATTCAGATATGCCAAAAAGAAGCCATAAAGTACTTCCTTTAAGTGAAAAGATAAGAGTTCTCAACTTAAGGAAAGAAAATAAATTATATGCTGAGGTTGCTAAAATTCAAAGAATGAATCTTCTATGCATGCAATTGTGAAGAAGTTAAAAGAAATTTGTGCTGTCAACTTTGGCTGTCACAAAACTGCAAAAGTTACAACCACCTGTGTGTGATAATTGCATAGTTAAGATAGAAAAGGCATTAAATTTGTGAGTGGAATAGATGAACAGAAACACATTCTGACTAATAGTAATGGAAGTTCAGTACTTTCTGTGGTTTCAAGCATTCGGGGATCTTGGAACATAGACCCTGTGGACAAGGGAGGACTAGGTATACTATCTGAAAATAGAAAAATAGAAGAAAAAATAGAAAATTTGTAACAATGACAAAACATGTCAACAAAATGAAAAGCAGGTTAGGGGAAACCTATCAGCATATAAGGAAAAGTTGAAATATGAGTCTTGCAAAGGGAAGTCAAGATTTATAGGGTTACAGATGCCCATCAAAAGAGGACTGTATAAAGAAAATGTGGCATATATACACAGTGGAATACTACACCATATATAAAAAAGACCAAAATCATGTTCTCTGCAGAACATCGATTCAGCTGGGACCATCATTCTAAGTGAACAATTACAGAAACAAAACGCTGAATACCGCATGTTCTCACTCATAAGCAAGCCCTAAACAATGGGCACGAGTACATGAACAACAAACACTGGGCACTGCTAAAGGAGGGAGTGAGGAAGGAGGGACAAGGGGCACACAACCATCCACTAGGTACCATGCCCACCATTACAGGGAGACAGGGCTGGCTGGAGGTCCAAACCTCACCTGCAAGCAATTGACTTACGTAGTAAATCCTCACATCTACCTGACAATGCTAAAATAAAAAATTAAATTAAAAACAAAATAAAAATTTTAAAATATTTATGGGTTCAGATAACTCCAATAAAGCCCAGGAACTGGAACTAGCTGGAATAAATGAAGGAAGAGAAGAATATGCCAAAACAGGACTGATTCAGTCTACTCGAGAAACAGGTGGAACCCAAGAACCAATTGCTCAGCCCACACAAAAGAGCAACTTTCTTTCCCAATGCATCAAAAAACAAGAGGGAAAAATGAACCAGAAGCCTTTAGACTTAGAGACACTAGGCAGCTCACCAAAAACAGGAGGATTAAGTAAAATATGACTCTATAATAACCAACCTATCTTCCCCATCTATTCCCATTAATATAATGGCTGGCTTATCCCTAATGATAGGGTTGCCAAATAAAACACAGGATATCCAGCTAAATTTGAATTTCAGATACACAAAAAATAGTTGTTCGCGTATGTTTGTCCCAAATATTGCATGTAGATTCAACCGGTGTTCTATATTTTTAATGGCCCCAACCTTCAGACTAGAGACTACAGAATTCCTCTTTGCGAAACCTGACAAGCCCAGGTAAAGAAATTAAAGATATTAACCTTATGGGCTCCCAAAAAAATCACATATCCTTACCTGATCACACACACTATACACACATTTCCACAGGAAACAGAGTTCTCCTGTACAATTTATTCAAATACTAAGATCCATAAGTGAAAAATAAACATTGTTTAAACTTTCTAAAGTAAACGGGTGAGATTAACTTTTAACTTTGAATGAATATAATGAAATATGATATTTAATTAAGACAGTGGAAATAATAGAGCAAAAATACCAAGAATTGTTAAGGTGTTCAATATTTCATCTCTAACATTTTAAAAGAACAATTAACAGTACAATTCTGGCTCTTATTTTTACATGACAGAATAATCTTGGAGTAAAAAAAAAATATTGTTTATCCAATGGATTTGTTTTAGGAATGACTAATTCATCAATATACTAGTATTTTCATAATGAAATAACAGCAAATAATTGCTACATGTTAATATATCCCATATGATTTGTTACACTAATGACTCATAGAAGATCCAGGGAGGTGTGTTATAATTAAAGTTTGTTCCCAAAAAAATAGCAGGGTTCAAACGACCCAAGAAAAGGTAACAAAAGACCCCCAAAATTGTTAATAATGGCTATCAAACTTGATTAATCATTAAAATAACCAGAATATCTATTTTTTTAAAAAAGTCATAGTCTCTCTCCAGACTTACTAAATCAGAATATCAGGGAAGTAGGGTTCCAAAATTTATAATTTTTTAAAACTTCCTCATGGGATTCTAATACTCATTAAAATTTTGGAACCACTGATTTGGAATGCTTACTTGGGTGTGCTCATTCAATACAATGATCTATTTGCTTTAAACATAGTTATGATGCTATAAATAACAAATGATAAAATTATTCTTCTTACCTTGGATACATTGCTGACATAATTCATTTGGACAGTACTTTCCTTATCAACTTGATTACAAAGGTTCTGTAAAGTAGATGCATATTCTTTATCACTTTTTATTCTCAGGGCCATAAATCTCTTCACTGTTTCCAGTATCCGTAATTCCCAGTCTTGTAATTTTAACACAGCTTCATGTGAATTCTTCAGGTCACTCCCAAACCCCATTTTTGTAAGGCACTGCTTATCCTCCACACTGCACAAGTGAGCCTTCTAATCAGAACATATCTGTGTATGTAAACAGAAAAAAATAATCTTAAATCAAAAGGAAATCAGTCTTCAAAGCACAGTTACGGCCCATTCTTTTTAGGAATAAAAAAATCACTACAAAGGAATGTTTCCTCCCAAAGATATAGAACAAGATGAGGATATCCACTACATTACTTACTTCTATCCAACATTATTATACAGGTTCAAGCCATTACAATGAAATAAAAGACATTCAGATTAGAAAGGAAGTAAAACTATATTTATTTGCAAGTGACATCATCCTGTATGCAGAAAATCCTAAGTAATGCAATTAGAAAACAATTACGTGGCTCAGCCTATAATCCCAGCACTTTGGGAGGCCAAGGCAAGTGGATTGCCTGAGTCCGCAGGGTTCGAGACCCGCCTGGGCAACTTGGTGAGACCGCATCTCTACAATAAATCAAAAACTAGCCGGGCGTGGTAGCGTGCACCTGTAGTTCCTGCTACTTGGAAGGCTGAGGCAGAAGGATCGCCGGAGCCCAGCAGGTGGAGGCTGCGGTGACCGGGAGGGTGCCATTGCACTCCAGTCCGGGCGACGGAGTGAGACGCCAACTCAAAAAAAAAAAAAAAAAAAACTATTACAATAAATGAGTTTAGTAATATTACAGGATACAAAATCAATATACAAAAAAAATTATATTTCTACATACCAGCAATGATCAATTCAAAAATGAAATCAGAAAACAATTCTATTCAAAACAGCACCAAAAACTAATAAAATACTTAGGAATAAATTTAACAAAAAATGCAAAACATGTCCTCTTAAGACTAAAAAATATTGTTGAAAAAAATTTTAAAAGACCTAAATAAATTGAAATACTTATATCCATAGATCAAAAGACTTAATATTGTTAAGAAAGCAAGACTCTCCAATTTGATCTGTAAATTTAACATAATCTGCATTAACATCTCAGATAGTTTTTTTACAAAAATTGACTAGATATCCTAAAATTCATATGGAAAAGCAAGGAACTAGAATAACAGCCACAACAACAAAAACTTGATAAAGAATGGAACTAGAGGAGTCACACTTTCTAATCTCAAAACTTACTCAAAAGTTTTAATAATCAAAACAGTATGGTACTGGCATATGGACTGACATAGAGGTCAATGGAATAGAATAGAATAGAGTGTCCAAAATTACAAATTTTGCAGCAACTTAGATGGACTTAGAGTCTATAATACTGAGTAATCTATCACAGAAGCAAAGAACTGAGTATCACATATTCTCACTCATAAGTGGACCTTGAACAATTATCGTAATACCATAAGAAAAGGATAGCAGTAGTAGGAAACTGCCAGGGGTTGGGGGGCATACCTCAACAACAAGAGTACCTGTATAATGAACATTTGTATATCTAACCCTGAATTGTACCCCACATCTTTAAAATTAAAAGTTAAAAAAAAAATAGAGTGTCCAAATATAAAGCTTCATATTTATGGTAAAATGATTTTCTACAAGGGTGCCAAGTCTACTCAAGAAAGAAAAGTCTTTTCAACAACTGATCCTGAGACAATTTGATTTCCACAAGCAAAAGAATGAAGCAGGATGCCTTCCTTAGGCCACACACACACAAAACATTAACCCTAAATGGATCAAGACCTAAATATCAAAGCTAACACTATACAACTCTCAGGAAAAAACATACAAATAAATCTTCAAAACCTTGGCTTACGCAATTGTTTCTTAGAGAAGCAAAGCATGAAAGCAAAATAAAAATATATAAGTTGGATTCCAGGAAAATGTAAAACTTCTGTGCTTCAAAACACACTATAAAGAAAGTGATAAGAGGAACACAATGATGGGACAGACACTGAGGCACTCCTAAAGGAGGGTGTTAGGGAGGAAGATAAGGGTTGAAAAACTACTAACTTGGGTACCACGTCTATCACCTGGGTGACAGGCTCAATAGAAGCCCAAACCTCACCATCAAGCAACATACTTATGTAACAAGCCTGTACATGTACCCCTTTAATCTAAAAAATTAAAATTAAAGTTAAAAATTTCTAAAAGTGAAAAACAACTAATAAAATGGAAAAAATATTTACAAATCATACATCTGATAAAGGACTTCTATATGGAATATAAAAAAATCTTACAACTCATAACAAAAACACAAACCAATTAAAAATAGACAAAGGATTTGAAAAGACATTTCTCCAGAGAAAATATACACATGTACAGTAAGCAGGTGAAAATATGTTCAACATCATTAGCCATCTGCAAATCAAAAGTACTCCACACCACTAGGACGTCTATAATTTTAAAAAGACAGATGATAACTAGTGTTAGAGAGACTGTAACTCATCCCCTGCCAGCTGAGATGCAAAATGGTGCAGCCACTATGGAAAACAGTTTGGTAGTTCCTCAGAATGTAAAATATTGTTACCATATGACCCAGAAATTCTACTCCTAGGGACATACCCAAAAAGAATAAAAATATAAGACTACCCAAAATTTGCATATGAATAGTTGAAGGAATATTATTCATAATAGCCACAAAATGGATCCATCAATTATCCATCCCAAATATCCATCAATTGATAAATGGATTAAATAAACTGAATGACATCCATACAACGGAATACTATTTGACAATGGAGAGGAATAAAGAATTTATACAGGCTACAACATGGATGAACCTTGAAAACATTTTATTAAGTGAAAGAATCCAGACACAAAAGACTATATTGTATTCCATTTATATGAGATGTCCAAAATAGGCAAATCAATGTTCTAAAATTTATTATACTGGCGCCTGTATAAATCAGTGAATGTTCTAGAGACAATTTAATTGTACAGTTTCAATGGGTAAACCCTTTGGTATGTGAATACAGCTCAAAAAAGTTGTTTAAAAAAATCACCACAGCATAACTCATAATCGGCTAAAGGTCAGTTATCATGAACTTCACCAAAACAGCCTGCTTGTTTATTATAAATTCCAAAAGCAATGGTAGGGTTTATCTTGCTCTCCAGCTTCCTAGAATTTCAAGCAATAAACTTTTCAGAACCAGTTAGAAGAAATGAAAATACACCTCTTATTTCTAGTTCTAGATCATCTATCTATACCAGAGGTCAATTTCTTGTTAATTCAGCTGATATTCCCTAAACTATACAGAAAAACAAGAGGTTTATCTTTCTAACCTCAATGATCCCATTTGAAGACACAGTAAAGCCGGGCTCGGTGGTTCAGCCTGTAATCCCGCTCCTTTGGGAGGCTGAGGTGAGTGAATTGCCTGAGCCCTCGGGTTCGAGACCCGCCTGGGCAACTTGGCGAGACCTCATCTCTAAAATAAATCAAAATGAGACGGGCGTGGTAGCGTGCGCCTGTAGTTCCAGCTACTTGGAAGGCTGAGGCGGAAGGATCGCCGGAGCCCAACAGGTTGAGGCTGCGGTGGCCGGGAGCAGCCACTGCACTCCAGTCTGGGTGACAGAGTGAGACTCCAATTCAAAAAAAAAAGAAGACAGTAAAAATGAGAATTGTTTTAATTACAATTTTTTTCACTACTGAGAGCTGTCCAGTTTTATGAACTATCAAATAATTAGGGAAAAAAAGTTGTGAAAAAAACTCCCCTTGATCAAAGTTTCCAAAGTAGCAACTAAGACACTAATTGGACCTTTGGACCTTAACATAATTAAGTCCATACAGAGTATTATAAATGACTGGCTTAATATCAAATAGGATAATTCCAATTTTTTCTTTTATTTTCCTTTTTTGAGACAGGGTTTGGCGCTCTCACCCAGGCTGGAATGCAGTGGCATGATCATGGCTTACTGCAGTTTGACCACCTGGGTTCAAGTGATTGCCCTACCTAAGTCTCCCAAGTAGCTGGGACTACAGGTGCATGACACCACATCTGGCTAATTTTGTATTTTTATTTTCATAGAGATACCTTTTTTTTTTCATTTTGTATACAGTGGCCTTAAAAAAAATTACTTTGCTGGGCACTTTGGAAGGTGGAGGTGAGAGGATTGTCTAAGCCCAGAAGTTCAAGACCAGCCTGGGCAACTTGGTAAGACCTTGTCTCTACAATAAATAAAAAAATTAACTGCACGTGTGGTGCATGCCTGTGGTTCCAATTACTTGGAAGGCTGGCTTGAGCCCAGCAGGGTGAGGCTGCAATAGCCATGAGCATGCTACTGCACTCCAGCCTGAGCAAGTGAGTGAGTTTCCAACTCAAAAAAAAAGTACTTTGACATACTGTATTTTTTATGGGGCAAAAAATTTACAATGAATATTTTTCCATTATTTAACCTGAAGTTCTACAGTCCTAGTGGAGATATATACTCTATTTCATCCAATGTTTTCAACAGAAGAATAAGGAACATTTTTGAGGCCAAATAAAAATAAAATATTTTACTTTATATTTACATTAAATATATTTTTATTTATATAATGTGTGTGTGTGTGTGTGTGTGTGTGTGTGTGTGTGTGTGTGTGTGTGTGAAGGCTGGCGTGCAGTGGCTATTCACAGGCATAATCATAGCACTGTGGCCTCAAATTCCTGGCCTCAAGAGATGCTCCCACCTCAGTCTCCCAAGTAGCAGGGGCTACAGGCAAACATACCATACATGGCTAACAGTTTACTTCTTTAAAAGAATATATCTAATTATGTGCTTCCTTTTATTCTGTAACTTGGAATAGATATCACTTATGCTTCTAAATGCATCTTGACAACAATTTTGCTCTTCTAATATCAGGAGCTTCAAAAAGATGAAGAGCTCAGAAGACTAAAAAAAGAAAAAAATCTGGCAGCTAAACAATCCATCCTGTCCTAACAACATATTTATATACACCAATATTCTAGGTCAGGGTATCTATAAAATAATTTAATATATGGGATCTCTTTAAGAAATAAAAAATTAAAATTTTAAAAGAACTTCATAATAATTTAAGACTATATCTAAATGTTAGACTGGTAGATATTATAAATTATTTAGGAATTATGGGAATTAACTACAGATAATTTCCCCATAG